ACCCGCGCCCCTTCGCTGACTAGAAACTCAACGACCGGATAATGGCCATTCTGAACTGCAAGTAGCAATGGCGATTCTTCGCCATGGTCTGGGGACTCGATTTGACATCCTCCCTCAACCAGGATATGAGCAACCTCTGCACACTGGCACTCCGACCAGTCACAGCAGCGAATTTTGAGAAGAACATGTAGCGCTGTACTATCGCTAGCTCGTGACAGGCTGTTAAATCCCCTTTTCTGCGGCAGGTGAGAGGTTGTTGTAGACCGCTCGGACTCCCGTTTGGGGACTTGAGCAACTGCGTGAATGATATCCACAAGCGGCGGTGCACTAGTAAAGGTAAAGTCGGCGAAGACGTGGATGACAGACAGATCAGGGTGGTTTTGGACAGCAAGCTGCAATGGTGTTTCGCCTGCGTTGTTTACTGCCCCACACGAGCACCCAGCTTCCATGAGAATCTGGGCCAATTCCCCACAGTTGCAGTCGGAGCTGCTCCAGCAGTGGTCACGGAAAAGTATATGTAGCGCAGAGTCACCAGTACCCGCCAAGACCCTCGCGTCTGCTCCAGAGTCTAGGATAAAACGAAGCATTTCGGGACCTAGACGGCTTCCACGACATCCATCGTTCCTAACAGTGGCATGAACGATGTCTGCAGGCAACCTTGCACCGTCGTCCATAAAGAATCGAAGAACGGATAAATGTCCATATCTAATAGCAAGGTACATGGGCGTTTGGCCAGCACCATTCGTGACGTCCCATTTACAACCCGCACCAATGAAAAGTTGTGCATCTTCGAGGCAAGTACAATCAGATAAGGCTGGGTCGCAACCCCTAGTGGTAGATAGGAGAGTGTGCAACGGTGAGTCACCAGTCTCCGTGATCGCACTCGCGTCTCCCCCAGCATCCATCAATAATTTGATGACAGCACGACGAGAGGAGTCTGAAGCTCGAACTGCATCATGGATGATGTCTTTGGGTAAAGCTGCTTTGATGTTCACGAAAAACTGGAGGGCTGGCACGTGTTCATTTCGAGCCGCAAGATGAATTGGTGATTTTCGGTCGTCGTTGAGCGCTTGGGCATTGCAACCAGCCTCCACCAGCATAGGTACGATTGTTGCACAATTGCAGTCTCCATAGCTGTAGCTGCACAAGGAGCTTGAAAGCGCAGAGTGAAGAGCTGAACCTCCATGTTGCAAGACGTTGGGATCCGCTTCATGGTCCATAAGTGTCTGGATAATTGAAGCAGTGTCCGTCATCCAAAAAGTACTCTTGAGGACAACGTGGATAATATCGCTGGGAAGGCTACTTCCACGTTCCAAGAAAAGCGTTATGAGAGTGCCTTTGTGCTCCCTGCGGTGAGCCATAGCAGCTGCTGTCAGAGGCAAGCAAGAGACCAAGCGGCGGAAGTCCACAAATGTGCCCTCCTTGTTGATGTCCAGATCCTTATCCAAGAGCATGGTGGCATGGTGGAGTTCACCGAATTGTGCGGCATAGGTCAATGCATTATGTCGTTCTATCACTTCTAATTGGTGCCGGTCAAGATACTGCCCCAGCAGCCACGGTGAGCCAAAGCGGATGATGAGGTGTAGTACCAGGGCAGGGATTGTAGTGAGCCACCAGCATTCAGCATTCGACTGCGAAGGGGAAACAACGTCTGCATACTTGGCGGGATTGATGGATACTTGGTCTTGGAGCTCAAAGAGGAGTGGAAGGATTGACTCGTCCTCTTCACCGATGTGCTTGATATGCAGGAAACCTGATTCCAGAGCGTAGTCCAGCAATCGAGGCCTCCGTGATTCGTGGGAGTTCGTAGGCGGATATATAGTATCGTGGAAGATAAGGCAGTGAATGGAAATCGATGCAAGCTGGTGATTGGCAACGGAGGGACGGATGAAATATTTATCGAGGGATTTGCTAAGGGGTGGAGAGCTACTAAGGTATTCCTATGGGCCGTGAGCCGCGAAGCTCATAGTCAGTGAGCTACACTACGACAAAGGTCGCAAACACTTGCCTGGACACTGTAGTGTGAGAGGAACACAATTCCACTTTTCTCGTCATAGCTTAAAAGGCTCCCACAAATATCCAAGATGTCAATGTCATGCATGGGCGCGATATCATTATTCAGCGTGGGACGTCCGAGTTCAAGTTTAAGGGCTTCTCCAAGCTGAGAGAGCGTCAAAGGTTCGAGGGCAGCGACGAGCCACATGAGAGCTCTGCTTGCAACTGCGCCATCGAATTCCTTTTCCTCGATAGCAGAGAGAATCCGTTCATAGGTTTCGAAAAGGCCGGTAGGAAGAGTGTCAAGTACTGTTCGAATATCTCCATCCGTACGACAATCATTGAGTCGGTCCAATTGACATTGTACCCAACGAAACCTAGAGTTCCATGGAGAACGTTGATTGACGAGAAGTCAACACGAAGTGTGATCACTCACATCCCATCAGCCCTTCTCAGCAACAATTCCAAGATTTCATCCTTCACGGAGCTGGGTAATGTCTTGAGTTTCCGTCTAGCCTCCAGTTGCCTCTTGACATGCAGTCTCATGTCATTTTCCATATCGTGGACCATGTCCTTCAGACTGATCGATGGAAGGCCGGTAAATTTCTCTTTGATGATCAATTCCGTCCTGCTGGTAACAAATAGCCGGATGCGTGCGTTGTTCAGTTTGACAAGGACGTCCAGCAAATCTGCAAGATCTGAACATTCGTCGAGCGCATCGATGACTATCATTAGGTCGCTGATGCAATCTCGGAAGCGCGAATGAGGAGATCGGAAAGAATATCTAGTGCTGCGGGGGGGGTCAGCGCCTCGATCCATGCGCTCTTTCAGCTCTGGGAACACCGATAGCCAATTTCCACTGGCACTTCGAAGAAGCTGGACGACCAGTGAGTATATAACTTCCTTTGCGCTGGTGCATCGCGAGTTTCGGAAGTCACAATAGAAATAGGCAACATTTTCTCCACCCTGCAAAGATCCAGAAAGTTCTTCGATAACAGCCGCGCTGGTCGAATGAGCCTCACTATCAAACGCGCGGAGAAGTACTTACGCCAGAACGGACTTCCCGGCTCCCGCTGTATGTTTCGCAGTTGAGACGAATAAAGTACAAGCCGAAGTCACAAACTCACGTTTTCCATTGAGCCAGATGAATTGACTGGGTGACGAGCGCCAATCAATGAATTGCTGTACATGGAATAACCAATCGCAAGTTTGCTCTTGACGCTGTCTGAGTGTAGTTTCGTGCTTCACTGTGCAGTCAAATGGGTTGAACCATTCGAAGGACACCCTTGAGCTGTTCAGCTGATCGAAAAATAATGCTTGTCAGTGTTCACACAAGATGTTATGCGTTAGACTGCTCACTCTCAGTAGCATTTAGCTGTTCCGACTTTGTGAGCTCGCTTTCACGAGCGAGATGAATCGCGATCCTGACCCCTTGGTTGACTTCAAGCGCAATAGCTTTCGTCTCATCCTGACTAGCTTTTGACGGAAGTGCACGCCATCATCAACCCTCGAGGCAAAAGCTTCGAGGACGTCATGAGTTTCTCTGATCTCCGTGATCGACGTCCTACCAAGTCCGTCAATAACCGGGCTCCAGAAATTTGAAGCATTCGGTACTTACGAGGTATTTGCCGCAATTTCACGGAATCTCTCTGCTTGCGTTTCGCCGATTTGTTTCATCGACTTCCTAGACGAGCCTTAGTGATCGTCTTACACCTGAAAACTGCTCCTGAAACTTACCAATTTTCGACACCCAAAAATTGCTGAAAATAAGCATCGGTGCTGGTCAAAAGTCTGGATAGCTGCTTGATCTTCCTTTCCCTCAGGGGCCACTTTATCTTTTCGATCCACTTCATGCGTCCGTTGCTGATCTGCGGGTAACCCACGGAGTAGATCGTTGAATACTTTCATGCAGTGCGCTGGAGGGCCGTCGTCCGCAAGCCATTCGGTCCGCAGGGTATCACAATCTGAGCTCTGCGAGGATTCGAGGATCTCTTTCACGGAGCTCGCTGCGGTAATGATGATTTTTATATGTTTGATGAGTTTGTCGCGAGAGGACTGCGCATTTATGACGGAATCCACCAGACCGTAAAGTTTGTTCGCGACCTCGATGAGTTGTAAGATGGTTGCAGCTGACGAGGCGCCGTCCATTGGAAAGGTGAGCAGTTGGGAGTAAAGTTGGAGTTGCTGTACGGGCTGAGTCGCCCAGGACTGGGCTTATCAAGCGCGGTTGGGCGCACTGCCTGACTGAAGCGCTGTGAACTATAATTTTGTAATGCTAGGGTTGAACTCACCCGGCATACTTGCGCATGTGATCAGAGGCCTGAGAGAAAAACTGGGCGGGTATCTGTCAAGTTTGATAGACCAAAATTATCCCCATGCGAAAGCCCGTAGACAAGACCGTTCAGAAGGAAGACAGCCGGTCCTCCGGTGCTTCAACGGGAACTAGCAGAGGTCAAGCCAGTCGAACCGAATGCGATGGGTCGCGATACTGACTGGGGTACAACGATGTGCCAGTATTTAAGTAACTCCTCAACTGCAAACACGGCTGGTGAACCCAAGTTGGAACTGGAAGCAGCTGGGCCATGTCAGTTTGGCGTGCCATCATGAGGTTTATTTAACACCTTTGTAACACTGAGTCACTGTCCTCGAGTTTGCACCAAGTGTGTCGTTTGGCATCTCAAAAACCTCCACTCCTACGCATCCACCAGCGACCGTCGCAAACCGCCGTCAACAGCGTTGGCTCTCCACTGTTCTTCTACGCTTCGAGATCGGGGCATGTCAGGCTGTTCGATTTTGGGTGATTCGGACCAACCACCTGCTACTTCTTTTGTTTGTTTTCATGTGCCGGGAGAGATCATTCTGTTGCTGTTTTTTCGTCAGGCCAAGTTATTTAGTGAAAAGCGTCTTATTTATGACCGGCAAGAAACCTTGCAAGCAAGGTAATTTAGTGAAGCTGAATTTGAGTAGAGCGGTTTTATAGTGCAACATGGGCCGTTGATAAGCACGGCTCAATGGTCTAGTAGCATGATACGTGCTTCGGGAGTTGCCCCGCCATCCAGGGTGGTGAAGATGTACGTGACCCGGGTTCAATTCCCGGTTGAGCCCAGTTTTTGCTGCTATCAGACTTGAAGAGCTTGAGCTTTGAAGGTTATTTTTGGCGGGTCACATTCTGTCCAAATAAGCAAGTCAGGTCAAGTCAACTTAGCCCGTAGCACCTTGTAGTGCAGTGACATCCATCTCGACTATCCCAAGCTCAGAGTCAAAGCCCCTTTCATCACGACAATTTCGTGCGTTCCTTCGTCGGTCATTGTCGCCCTCGACCCTCAAGGCCAATCTTAGATCTGCCACCACTACTGTCGCCACCATCTTCTGGTCCACCTAACGCAACTCAACCCTCGCATAGAAGGTATCCAGAGTTTTAGCAGAACAACGACCATCTTATGGGCAATGTACAGTCTGGATCGACCCTTACAAGGACCAGTGGTGCTCTTGACTCCTTCGTGACTGAGATTGGCGGGGACATCACATATGAGAAGAGGTGCGTCACTCGTTTATTCGCCCAAGGTCTAGTTGGAGCCTGCACGTTCACATTGCCATCCTTTCTTAGCATCGGTCAAGCACGGTTTCTCAAGACAGTCAAGTGCCGCCACCGCAATGGTTACCTTGTGATCAAAATCTTCATCAAACACGATCCCGGCATAAGTCTGCGAACGTACCACAGAAAGCAGAAGGGTACGATCTTGGTAATAGATACTTTGCCGGGACGACTTACTTACTTTGGAACTCTGCTCAGTGGACAGGGAGGCCCTTCTGGATATTGCAAACATATACAATTATCAGGCATTTGTGGAAACAGAGAAAGCCGGTTATCTTATTCGGCAGTGGATTGCTAGCAACTTGTATGACCGTATCAGGTGCGTTCTGAGACCGCAATGTGTCTATAAACGTTCACCTAACACAACACTTGTCAGTACGCGTCCATTCCTCTCAATCATCGAGAAGAAATGGATAGCTTTCAGCTTCTTCACTGCCCTTGCATCGGCACATCTCCAGAAGACACCCCACGGAGATATCAAATCGACCAACATCCTTGTTACCTCGTCCAACTGGATATATCTCACGGATTTTGCTCCGTATAAGCCAACGCGTCTCCCGCTTGATGACCCCTCGGATTTTTCCTTCTTCTTCGACACCAGTGGCAGACGAACCTGTTATGTCGCACCGGAACGGTTCTACAAGGCGGAGAAGGACGAAAAGGGGAGGACTGGGAAGATTCGGAGAGGAAGGAGCGCGTGACAGAGGCTATGGACGTATTCAGTGCTGGCTGCGTGATTGCTGAGATGTTCCTCGAGGGTGCTCCTCTCTTCACGCTCAGTCAACTGTTCAAGTACCGCGAAGGAGAGTACAGTGTCGATGGGCAGTTAGCCGCTATCGAGGACGAAGGCATCCGTGTAAGTTCTACTCATCTGAATCAGGACTTGGACTCGGAGAAACTGATATGGTTGGCACAGACCATGATCAAGCAGATGATATCTCTTGACCCAACATGTCGTCCAACGTTTGAGTGCATTTTATCTGGCGCGCGAGGTGAAGTTCTGGCAGAATGCTTCTACTCGTTCCTACACGAGTATGTTGCATCTATCAGCGAACGGTCGACCCCATTTCCCCTCACATCTTCATCGTTTTCCTCGTCCCATGCACCCCCTGCGACACCAGCCACCGCAATATCCCCTGTGAGCACTGTGAAGGGCAGTAAGGAACCTGCCACTAATGCCGGAGGTGTGGGTGAAGTGCTTCCCAGCGACAACGACCACCGAATTGACCGGATCTGGGAGGATTATTCAAACATTGAACCATTTCTTCTCCCCGAGCAAGACGTCGAGCGTACAGTCATGGATGTCAGAGTAGGTTATGACACTAAAACGTCTTCGTCTTCCAAATTGCACCAGGTAGAGAGATCCCTTCGTTTTACCATCCACAAATCTGACGACGTGGTTTAGGACATCTTCCCTGTTTCGCTACATGTTGCATCATATACACCCTCCTCTCGTCCAACACCCGCTGAAGATGGGCCCGCCCTCATACTCCTCTCGCTTATCCTCGCTAATATCAGAAATTGCTCGTTGCCCTCATCTCGTCTCCGCGCGCTTGACGTACTCCTAGCGTTATCCGCTCACCTGACGGACGAGTCAAAGTTGGATCGCGCTGTCCCATATGTAGTGGAGCTATTGCGTGACGAAGTGGTCGTGGTTAGAGCGGCAGCCATTAGGACGCTCATGCAAATTGTGAGTGCTGGTCGAACATTTTCCGGCACTACTTACATGATTGACCACTTCTGCTAACAGTTGATGGGGGTGACAGTGATCACGCCATCAAACGCCTCAATCTTCCCTGAATATATCATCCCAAATGTTCGGTATCTCGTCCAAGATGCTGAGGTCTCCGTTCGTGCCACATATGCCCAGTGCATCGCTCCTCTTGCGGAGACTGCATTGCGATACCTTGAAATGGGCCAGGCACTTAAAGCGCACGGTGTTGCTCCTGGTGTAAACAGTGACAGACAAGAATACGATGAAGTTCACTTCGAGGTGAGGTCATTTCCATGTCACGAGTGTCAGTTCAATAAGTGAATTTCTGATCTCCACTAATAGGTATCTTACGATACATCACTCTACGACCTCCACCTCTCCATCCAAGAACAGCTTTCCGCGCTCCTTATGGACCCCTCGCACATAGTCAAACGTGCAGTCCTGCACAACATCAGTGCACTGTGTATCTTCCTGGGTCGGCAAAAGACCAACGACGTCGTTTTGAGCCACATGATTACGTATCTTAACGACCGTGACTGGTTACTTCGTCATGCGTTCTTTGAGAGTATTGTGGATGTTGCTGCGTGTGCTGGTGGACGTAGTTTAGAGGAGTATATTCTACCGTTGATGGTGCAGGCGTTGTCAGGTATGGACACGATTCATTTCCTTCTAGTCTTTATGGACTGAATGACCTGTAGACGTCGAGGAAACCGTGGTGGCTCGTGTTTTGTCTGCTCTCACTAGTCTGTGCGAACTTGGACTCTTCCAGAAGATGCGCATATGGGAGCTTATGAGCGCCACACTGTGTTTCTTCTACCATCCAAATGTCTGGATACGACAGGGTGCGCCAATCTTCATTCGTATTCCCCATGCTGGGTACAAGTCGACTAATTCTGATTGTCAAGGTGCTGCGGCATTCATTGCCTCGGCAGCGAAACGCCTCCAACCAAGTGACGTTTGGTGTATCTTGTATCCTTCTTTACGCCATCTACTGCGATGCGACGTCAAGGAGATAGACGAACAGAGCCTGTTGACAGCTATGAAACCACCGGTAGGTCGACATGTCCCCTACTTTTGAACAAAGTACCTGATTCCCGTGTTCTGCAGCTCTCGCGACCAGTCTTCGATGGGGCGGTTCAATGGGCAATGAGGGCAGAACGAACCATGTTTTGGCGAGGTCAACGCAGGTCCGCAACGAAGATCGAGTCTCCAAGGGAGAGCATTGTCTCGATGCGTAAGGCAGGAAGTGCCAGTGTTGCTAGGCAGACCAAATCCGAGGAGTACGTCTACTCCTACTCACTCCTACTACTGTCGCCTCTTAATTTGTGGTCATGAAACAGGGATGAGGTCCAATTGTTGAAGCTGCAGAACCTTGGTATGCTTCCTGCTGACGAGATGAAACTTTTGGCTATGCGAGATTACATTCTGAAGCTTGCCAATAATGCATCGAGGTATGATACCATCACTTCTCTTGACAATCGCTGTTTATGGGTTATTGTAGTTTTGCTTCCCGCCTACGACTAGAACCAGACTACGAGAAGATCATCCGCACGACAGGAGACGTCGAGCTCCAGAAACTCTCCGTAGTTCCCCAAACCGTCTTCCTCAAGTCTCGTGCACCCACATCCGATCATCTCCGATCCTCCCGTCAACCCTCTTCCCGTCTGTCGAGCGATGTACTGGGTCGACTGTCTACCCCTCGGATGAGTCGTACCACCAGCACCGACCACGGCCCAAACACAGCTGCGTTCGAAGAATTGCGGAGAAGACTGGCTACGATCAATGGCTCCGCGTCTTCTCTAAATCTCGCCGCTGCAGCCCGTGAACGCGCGGGACACCAACCCCATCAGTCTTCACTTCCTGGAACTGCCAATTCAGCGCCGTCTCAGCCAAGTATGCTTGGTCTGCCGAACCCACTTCCTGGTCACGACCGTCCCAGCAGTCCAACGGACTCTGTGGTGTCGACTGCGAACTCGTCGGCGCTCCGCGTGGTCCATAGGCTGCAAGTCGGGAGTACGGATGGGCAGAAAGCAGCACCTGCTGTAGGCTCGTCGAATACGAACGCTATTGGAGTTCTCGAGGCTCCTTCTCGAATTCGTTCGGAATGCTCTCCTGAGCGTTCAGGGAGATCTTCACCTGTCTCTATGGCGGGCACGACCAAACAGAGTCATAGGCCGCGAGTGACATCACTGAACCCGATTTCTACTTATGGTACGTTTTCATCATTCACAGTTCTCGTTCGTGCTCTGATGCTTGGGCCATAGACGGACAAGAGGTGGGGATTAACAACTTCCTCGAGAACCTCTACCTCGACAGCAACCGCGAACTACAACACGATTTCGGTCCTAGAGTTCATGATGGCCCTATCCGTCGCCGGAACGCTGCGCGCCAAAGCTTCCTTCCGCGAGACAATAGCAACCGGCGCGTCGAGGCCGCTCTCATTGCACATCTCCAGTCACATTCAGACTGCATCACAGGGCTCGCAGTAGCTCCAGATCACTCGTTCTTTGCGTCATCCTCAGATGACGGAACTGTCAAATCTGGGATACGGCGAGGTTGGAGAGGAGCGTGACGAGTAAACCGAGGCATACATATACTCAACATCATGCGAGAGTCAAGAGCATCTGCATAATTGAGGGCGTGCATTGCTTTGCGAGTGCTGCGGAGGATGGGAGCTTGCATGTTGTGAGGGTACATGTGAACCAGTCGGGATCGCTGCCAAAGTATGGCAAGCTGCAAGCTGTCCGAGAACATCGAGTTGAGGCTCCGGGGGAATACGTCACTTGCATGTACCAC